GAAAGTGAAGTGAACGTGGTGAGGTCTGAGCAGCGTGTCATAACTTCAGTGGGATCGACACTTCCAGTCAAATGTTTTTGAACACACCAAAATATAATCTTATGTCTCACATGTGCTACGCTTGGGGATTAATCACTCTGAAAATGGTACAAAAAAAAAAGTATGCATATGTGTGAAACATTTATAGCTTTTAATATTAAAAATCATCTGAATATTCTTGTCAACGCGAAGCAGTAGTTTCAGTCCAGTCTAGACTTGATTAAACCCCATCAACTGTTGAACTCTGCCTACATTTCTTTCTTTATTATGTTAAAAAGTAAACATTAGATTCGGGGGGGTTGTAATAAAGCCTATAAATACTGTTCCTTAAAGCTCCACCAGTTTTATATTTCACAATAATTTTTTTGCCACAAGTTTAGAGCAAAGCTTGAAATCTCTGAGCATTTGAAAAATATTGAATTTCTTTTTTTCCTTTTATAATCATGTATTTTAATTTTCCTAAAAGATAGATTTACACACTTTTTATCAAATGCAGAAACTCAATAAATAAAACTAATACACAGCTTCAACATGTTTATCTAGCTAATTTTATCTGCTTTAAATGTAACTTTTTTATTTTCAAACTTACAATATTTATAAGAAACCTTTTTTTTTTTTATCAAATTCTGCTGTAAAATTTTGACATTTTACTATTGTTATTATTTTTGAGAAACCCCTTCATAAAAGTGGCTAAATATGGATAAACTGTAAATGTGTTATCTTAAATAAAAGCGCCTCAAACAGCTTTTTTAACACATTTGACAGCGTGGCTCAATTTTCACTGCATCGTCTGCAAAGAAATGAAATTATATAATTAAATTTTTAACAGTAATATGCTTTTGTGGCTTTAAATGTGGCAGATTTCTGGTGCATCTCTTCAAAAATCTCACAGCTGATTAATTTAGATATTTTATTGTTGCATTTTTTTCTTTCAAAAGAGTCTTATTTATTTAGTAATGTGATTTGTATAGCTCATTTCTTTCCTGACCTGATATTTGCATCATGCTAAGTTTTAAAATACTTTCCAAGCTTGGGTTTTATTTTCTTCAATGTACTTTTTAAAAAGTAAACAATTATTACCACAAAACGATAAAAAAAAAAAATTAAAAAAAAACTTGGAAGTGCTTCAAAAACTCTTGACTGTTAAGTTTATTTGTAGGATCTGCAGATTAAAGAATGCCTTGTAACGTTAGTCATGTAAAGAATCAAATTTTCCATTTATTCAGTGTTATGACATATCTTTTGCAAAAATTAATACTGGATACTTTTATTTTGAAATCGGTCAGTGTGTTGCTCATTACTTGGTCACAAAGGAGGTCAAATAGTTTCACGAACAATGAATTTAGCTTGTATTTTTTTATGAATTAACCCCATTTAAGTGACAAAAAAGACGACGGTAAATCAGCGCATCGTCTGCAAATGATTAAAGTTGGTGATTTTTACAGAAATGTTCTCTTGTTTCATGTCTTTCATATGGCAGTCTGTGTTTTCACGCAATTAAAATGCTCACATCTCACAGGTTTCAATCAGCGGAGAGCTTCATTAAAACTACGTCTTGTTTTATTTTCCGTTATTTTTATTATTTTTTGACCTTTTTAAATGGAAGGTCCATATTGTTTGACTGAGCAGAGATCACATACTTGTAAATATGCATTTTCTATGTATTTACAATAAAACCTTTGGGAGCGCCTCGGTTTTATAGAAGCTGTTCAAAGAAGAGGTATGCCCTTTTTAATTATGCAAATTCACATTAAAAAAAGTTTAAAATAAAATAAAAATCTAGAAATGGACAACAACCTGGTTGGTAGGTAGAGCATCTTGTAACTTAATAGACTTTTTGTTAAGATGGTGGTTGGCTTCTCTGTCGGGGGGGCGGTATATGTTGCACCGTTAGTAGACGTAGTCACTGTACAGTTCATGTTTTGACAAAACACGTTGCTGGATTTTTTTTCATTTTTTGGGGGGGGTTTATTTCCACCATAGCTAAACAATCACGGATTCATTTTTTAATGTTTAGTCAATATTTTTATTTTTATGCATGTCTAAACAACTTGGCTGTTTTTATTATCCCTGTTTGTATCACTTTGTGTTGATTTATGGATGGAAAAGGAAAACAAGCAAAGTCGAATGTTTAGTATATCATTTGATGTGAACAATAACTTGTGACATTATCAACAAAACAGTCATGTTACTTTTACTAACCATTAAAACAAAGTATTGTAATAGTAATAAAAGTTTCCCTTTATTTTCCTGCAGTTATTTAGAAGGGCTAAAGCTGAGGTTGCTCCCTGGTCAATTGTGTTGGAAATCGCTTTTCCACAAATCAGTCGTTGGCTAATCTCAACCGTTGTGCAATACTAACATTTCACCGCTTCTTTAGCAACAGCTTCATGTATTTTTTTTTTTCCAACCCAAGAGATCGAGCCAAAGACGTTCTAAAGGAGTTGCAGTGTTCCTTTCTTGCTTACTTTGTAAACTTTGTGCATACCTCAAATTCAATGTAAACGCAAAAACAATTAGTTCTATTTAAAAGCTTCCATTCTTACAGAGTACATAGAATATGAGGAACGTTTTGTCATCGGCACTTTTATTTTGCCTTTGCGTGAAACCAACTTGGGTGCGACACATGAAAAGGGAGCAACCTTTTGCCCAGCCGGCAGAGAGCACTGTGTTCAGCCTTCTCGAAAACGCCGTTTCCCCGTCGTCTGTTGGCTCCTCTGTTCTTCCCCTCGCTGCAGTGAATCAATGGCACACCTGTTCTCCCAGCTTCCCCACTGGGTTCTCCCTCATGGGTTCAAAGCTCTTGAATATTCGTTTCAGTTGGTGGTTATATGGAATAATTTACATTGTGTTTTAAAGGTTTTTTTTTTATTTTATTTCTCTATTAAAGTGTTTTTATTGAAACTGCCTGTGATTTTTTTTTCTCCCCTCACCATCAGAACAAAGAATCCTTTATGAAACTGCAACCGTGTCACATGAATCTGCAGACACACACGTTAAAAAAAAAGACCGAACTCTTTTTAAAGCTTTTTAATTTTCTTTACAAAGTTGTAGCATGTAAGAAACACAAAATGAGCTACATTTCAGAACTCGCCTGCATGCTAAATTAAGTTGATAAAGATACAAACAGCAGCTAATACTGTTTTTTTTTATTTTTTATTATTAAACCTTTAATAACAGTGAAAAATTAAACGCTCAAAATAAATTGGCATGTCCAGAAAGTTCACTGGTATAGTTATTTTTTAGGTTATGAGAGATCAGACCATCAAAATCTTAGTTTTCCCAAAAGCAGCCATTTTATTTAATTTATTTTAACCCTGAGCTTTTTTACAAACTGGTGGCTGCAGCTCGGACAGAACCAGGAAGTCAGATTGAACTTTAACGCCGCTCACCACATGCACAAGATCACCATTTTTTCTATTCAACTTTTTTTTTTTTTTTTTCAAAGTACAAAGTTTTCAGTTTCATCAAATTGAACCGATGTAGTTTTCTGAAATGTAACTGGTACATTTTTCTAAATTCAGTCCTCAAAAAAAAACCTCCTCAGGGACGCTGTAGCTGATCAACCTGCTTTGTCCTTTACACCAAAATATAATTGTAGCTTATTAAAAACCACTAATTAGCAAAAACATACAACCATTTAATCATGTAAAATTAAAGGGACAACATCCTGAATTCATCCATTTGAATTACTCTTTTAGAAAAAAGTTAAGTTTTAAATATAAAATCCTGATTTGTTTCAGGTGAGTGGTGTTTGCACCAAACAAATGTGCCCTTTTTTTTTATTTTTTTGTATATCAGTTTGATTTGGAGGCCTGGTTTGTACGTTCCCCTGCTAGAACTGAACTTTTTCCAACAGGATTGGTGCTGCAGACTAACATTCAGCCTGATTCATGCATAAAATTGGCAGTAAGCTGCTGATTTCCTTAAAATCGAGCATTTTTAACTGCAAAGCTTCATAAATAATCCTGCAGGTTGGATAGCTTGACATCGTAGCTGAGTGAAGTTAAAACCAAATGGACAATATGCGCAGTAGTGTCAAGTCCACCTTGGTGTAACATTAATGTTAATTTGACCCTCAAACTCTTAATGATCACATGTTTTGATGTGGGTTTCTATGGAAAGTACAACCAGTTAATATCTTACCTGTTGAAGGTAATTTTTTGAACAATATCCTTTAAATCAAACAGATTAATTATGACCAGGATGATGAGCTAAAGTTTAGTGTAGGCAGGGTCAAAACCAAAGTGGATTGCTTTCATTTTAAAATTTCTCTGATCTCAAAAATGTCATTATTCCCACTAATGCCATTTTATATACTTGTACACCGCAGTCCGTTTCATATCACACCACTACCCCTGCAGAAATCCCTGCTAGAAGTGCTATAGCTATGTGCTACTGCCACAAGTAGCACTTTCAAAAAATAAGAATTTGTGTAAATAACATGTAACTGACAACGTTTACTAAATAGCATTAGCTTAAATGGCTATACACTTTTTTGATATTGGAGTTTTAAGTCATTAGTCCACTTTGGTTTTGGCCCCACTCCGGCTAACCATTAGCTCATCAATCCCATCAAAAATAAAGTCTATTAATTCAAACTCCAGTGTCTCAAAGAGTTATCTACAACAGGTAAGATATTTGTTTATAACCTTTCTACACCTAAATTCAGAAGATGTTTGTTAGTTGGAGCCAAAATTTAGGGTGCCTGACACTGATACATGGACCATGGTCTCTGCGTTAACAAAATATGTATTAAATCTTAATTTGTTGACAGTGGAGGACTAGCTGAACATGTAATGTTTTTGTTTTTCAGATGGGTGTAAAAAATGTGGGTGGCTTGCTTTTTAATTTTTTTAATGTATAGGTTTCAAGTCAGATATGAGGTGCGTTCTACAAGATGTGGTTTGCAGTTCCCCTTCTCTTTCCTATTGGGCCTACAGATAAAAATAAAAACAAAAAACATTGAAACCCACCTTTATTGCTTTAAAGATGGTTATGATCCATAAAACACCAGCAACAAATCTCCCCCTATTTAATCTCTCATCTTGTTCTTAAACTAAATCCAACTTCTGAACTCTATAAATTTTAGTCGGTAGCATTTTCCCGCCCAGCATCACTCTGCTTGATCCGGCTCGGCATCCATGCAAGTCTCCCATGGATTCCTGGGCATCTGGGGCATGGAGAGGACAAGGAGCGCGATGCCCGTGATGAAGAGAAGGACGAAGCCGCTGCAGGCACAAGCGAAGGACCAGGCGTAGGAGTATTCAATCCAAATGGTGTCCTCGCTCTCAATCATGCGCTTGACCGACTGACGCATCACCTCCAGAGAGATGAAAGCACAGATGCCTGAAAAAGAAATGTTGACATGAGCCGACGATCTGTAACACCGGTGCTCATTCCATGTTCAAGAGGGCATAATTCTCAATTTGGGGAAAGATTTTCTATGTGGTCTCGTCAAATTTTTTTAAATGAAGCATCATTTCCTGCGGGATCAATAACTTTCTAATAATAAATCTTAAAATTAGCTTAATTAACACTGAACACATAACTCTGAAATTAACGTCTGAAATACTGTATTTTTCACCATATAAGTTGCACCTTTTTGCATAAATTTGCAAGTTCTGAGACTTGTCCACCAAATAGACTAATGTATATATTTTTTCCCCATATTTATAACTCAATGTTTGGCTGAGATCAGACGATTTCATTCATTCTGACATGAAAAATATTGAACATTACCGTTTGCACCCGCTAGAGGGCGCTCGAGCATATGGCAAGCCAAGTGTCTCATTAATAGGTAAAAGTGGCTATTAATGCGACACTTGGCTTGCCATACAGAGCCACTTTTGTCTCGCTCCGTAGCTCCTGGAGCAAACGACAAATCAGCTGCATTTCATCGTGACGCCCAGGTGAAATGCAGCTGATTTGACCATTAAAGTGCATTTATTAAGGAAAAGTTAACCTGAGACACCTTTACTATAATTCTGAGCAAACAAATAATTCTTTTTAAGTGTTAATCTTGTTAAATTCTTGTTTAAGTCCTCCAGTGCACGCTCCCACAGCCGCCATTTTAACAGCTAATTGATTTTTGGCACAACACCGGCCCACGTTTCTAGGTGGTCAGCAGTGACGCATAATAGATGCGACTTATACGATGAAGTGACTTATTTGTTTTTTCCACTTTATTAGACATTTTTGGACTGATGCGACTTATATGGCAGAAAGTATGGTAAGCAAATCTTGACGTCAGCTTGTTTAAGAGTGCATAATTCTCAATTTGGGTGAAGATTTTCTATGTATCAGGGCCTCGTTGTTATGGGTCCAGTTTTCTTAATTGAAGTGTTAAAAAAATCTTTAAATCAGCTTAACTAAGGGGTTCATCATTGAAAATAAGGTCTAAAATCCTAAAAATAAGCAAATAATTCTTGAAGTCTGCTTGTTCAGAGTGCATAATTCTTAATTTGGGTAAAAAAAATTTATGTATCTGTCAATTTACTTGTTATGAGTGAAATTTTCTTAAATTAGTCATTAAAAAAATTCATATCATATTGATGAAGAGGGCATAAAACACTCATTCTAAGAAAATATTTCTGCTTGTAAGAAGTGCATTTTATTTTTATTTTGATAATTTAGTTTAAAGGCACAAAGTAGTTGGCTTCATATAGTTTTAAGAAAACTAGCCAAGCAACTTTTGCTGACCCCACTGCAAGATTATTTTTCTCAAAACTAGAAAATTTGGTCACATTTAGGAATATTTGGCTTATTTCTAATAGTGCTGTTTTTACAGTGTTGACCCAAATTACGACGTTGATATGACACAGGTGGGTCATTTTGTACCTCAGCCTGTAAAATCTCTAAGAAAGGTGCCGTTTCATTGGGGGATCTGAACTCGCCTGCAAAAGCAAAGAACATGCCGGCAGGTTTGAGGAGGTAGTCTCTTCCTTTGCCTTTCCCAGTACACGATCCCAGCAAACACAGAGAGCCGAAAATCATGAAGGCCAGACTGAAGATGGAGATGGCTGCAGCAGAGATGTTGTACTCTGGAGTGAAGAAAACAAAGGGTTGTTGAAACAATGTGGAAGAAGCCACACAGACAAATAAAGACCTAATATTCTTTGAAGGAATGCATCTCACCTGCTGCCTTACATCTGAGTTTTAGACTAAAACCATGTGGAGAAATGATGCAGATGTGGACGTTTTGGTCAAACATTGAAAATAACGCTAGTATGCACAATTGAATATTGTTGGTGTAAATGACTTTCAGCAAGAAGCATCTAATTTTAGCTCATGATCTGTAAAATTGGTAACATTGTAGCCATATTTCTGTTGATTATCTGTGGTGGCTATACTGGTTTGGGCCAGGGATCTGCAACCTGCGGCTCTTGGGCCACATGTGGCTCTTTGGTCCTTGGTTTGCAGCTCCTTGAAGCTTTGACCAAACATAATGCAAAATGTAACGCCATTGGCTTTTATACCCACAGTAAAGAGAAATGGTGAGTTTTAGCAGTTTCTGCAAATGTTTAAATGAAATTAGAGAAAATGATGATTAGCTTTAGCTACTTCATTAATCCAACAACCGGCCTTAACCTCCTAGGACCTGGCATCCACATGTGCAAGAGTTCGGATCTTAGGAGGTTAAATGGGATCATTCTTTCAAATCCACCAAAAATTATTTGGAATAACTTTAGGACAAGTTACCAAGAAGAAATATGATGAAATAGATGGATGGATAGATAGATAGATAGATAGATAGATAGATAGATAGATAGATAGATAGAT